CACAGTACTCACCTCACCTTTTTCTACCTTTGCGTCTGTTTCTTTAACATTTTTGAATCACTCTTCCATCTCTCCCCCCCCCCTCGACTTTTTTCACTTTGATGTTCCTTCTTGGTGAAGCCTGAAGTCTACTAAAGGGCTAACGATAATTATCAAAACGCCTGCCATTTGATATAAATAAAAAAAACAAGAAGATTAAATTGAACCAGCTTACACTTCCACAGGATCACTTCCAGAGCTATATATATAGTCCAGGATCAAGCAATTGTTATTGCTTACAAGCGACTTATCAATAAGATACTACTTAAAAAGTCATAAATCTGCTAAAGATGAAATGTTAACTCAATAATTAATAGAGGTTAAAAGATACATAATAATGCCAAGGGATGGGTCATCAGACAGAAGAGCACTTTTAAAGGATACCGCGAGTAGCAAACTTGAAGCAATGGACACTTTGTTTGGCATTATTAATTATTGTTCAGCGTGGAAAAACAAACATGGATTCAAGCAACAAGATAAAATTGTAAGTTAGAAAACAAACCTGGTAGAAGTTGCGAAGGTCGCTTAACGTGATGAACCCCTTCTTTTCCACATCAATGGACTCAAATTGGGCGATAATTTTCTTCTCTTCCGCTTCTGAGAAGTTGATCATGATATCCTTACGCTTCATGCCAAGACCCATTTCAGTTCTAAGGAAGTGCTGTAATAGAAGAAGACATATTAAGTCCCTGATCTCACGTTAGGAAATGAGGCAATATGAATAATTTTCCCACCATAGCGTCATCAAATTCCTTCTTCTTGCGTTGCGAAGACCAATTGTATTCCGTAGCCATCAGGTCGATAACCTTGGGTAGAATCTCTTCAGCCACATGGACATTCAAGAAAGCAACGCGCGATCGTCGAGCAAGGAAGTCAATGGCGTTGCAGGCGTACTCTTTGCAAGCCCATTTAACCTGGAATTGAAAAGTAAACAAATCAAATTACTTTGAGTTTACCTTGAGAAGGAACTCTTGCAGACTCCGCTACGTCAAAATTGGTGTAAGCTTCTGCACTATTAGAAGGCAAAGTGAAGTTAATACGGAACTGAAATAGGAGTGGTACCAACATTCAAGGTTCCTTTGAAACGTGAAATTAGGAAATTACTAAAACAAATAAAAAGCCTTGACCTTGAGAATTGTTGCAATTTCAAAATATCCACAATAGAGTTGTAGTAGAAAGGGGAGAGGGAAAGAAGCCCTAATCATTACGGTATCACCTACTGTGAACACATCTCCTCTGCTTTTGTACTTCGGTGTTATGGCAGTAGTAACTTTTGAGACGTTTCAGATGTCCGTATCGGACTAGAAGCAATCTTGTAGGCCAATAGAAAATTTCAAATAGCGTCAATGAATATCGCGCCGGTTAACTCACTGTAAGTCTCATATGGGGTGCGTAGAGATGTGATTAAGATTGTCTTGTAGTCTTCTTCCAACCGCGATGAAGAGAACTGTGGTTCATCGTCCACAATTAGAACAATGAGTTGAGAAAATGGAGACAAAGGTTAAGTATGAGTGGAACAATCAAAATAAAGATGCACAAGTGCTTTCGTTGGCGGCCAAAACACTTTAACGTTTGAGAACGCTTTTGGCAAGTACGTCTATTTCTTTTACCATTCCCAGATAGTAAGGCTAACGTCATCACTTGATTTATTCCAGAATTAACAGATAGAAACAACACAAGAACTCCTTACTTGAGTGCTGTCGGCGAGACAATTCTCTCATCGAGTACCAAACAGGATTTCAAAACAGACAATGCCTCCCGATGGTGGAACTGATTCAACAGGTGCCATTTTAACGATGAGGATGACCTCATGGCCTTTAGTGACGTCTGAATCTACCTGTGAGGTGTACCTTATTTCCACAGCCGCATCAGAAGTAACCATGATAGAATCAACAAAATGTTGTATACATCTTTTTTTTTCCAGAGACAAGTGTTTCTTGATTTGATAATTAACCGTGGTAGTAGGCCAGAAGTCTTACGATATTTGCTTTCGAAATCATATCTCGCATAGATTATTCCCCCCCCCTCCCCCAGCTCTGAAGACGGATTACAAAGTATGTTAGAATGCCCTTCTCGAAGGGAAAAAATTATAAGAGAGGTTTATGGTATACATCAGAGGAGTAAAATGGTGACAAAATTATGAAACTTCATCAGGTGTGACGACTATCAGCAAATCTGATAAGACAATGAGTCAGAGAAGTATCTGATTTCACAGCAGCAGGCAAACCGGTGCCAAGAAGTGTCCTTTTGAAGAAATTTGTTCACTAACCCTCAAACTTCAAGCAAGGAAGGTAGAAAACTGACGTAGTAACTAATCGATCTCAGGTAAGGAAGAAAAGAGCTCGAAATTCGATTGGAAATGACATGCTCGTAATAGCTTGAACTCGTTTAGAGCACAAAATGGAACCAAGATATTTTAGGGATTGCAGGAACGCAGCACATCTCTCTGACCTCAAATAGAATTCACAATCGTAGATATTCAATTTGTGCCGTGGTTCGCGATAGACTTACTTCCACGTTGTGCACCCTGGGCAATAATATACACACATACGGGTCTAAAGTAAAGGCGATTTCACAGTTAACCAGGCATTAGGAACGGATCCTCCGCAGCGACCATATTTTTTGACAAGAAAGATCCAACAAAAGTGTGCAAACTTGATTTGAACAAGTGCAAAAAACTAATTTCTACTCAGATAATTCCCATTCTCACTTGATTCACTCACTTTAAAGAAATAAAAAAAGAAACAAATTAATTCAAATTAGCCACTCTTAAATCATGGGATGAAGACGTCAGTTTTACTCGCTTTTAATGCACTTCCCGTAGCTAATTAAATGTACTTAAACGGGTGAATTAGCCCTAAGAAACGCATCATATGACGAATCATTGTAACAAAGGAAAACCAGCAGCCAAAGAAGGTGCTCATTTGATAGGTGTTTAGGGGGGGGGATTCTTGCGGATTAAACATCCCAACTATAGAATAAACAAAGAAAGACCGAACCTCCTCAAAGAAAATACGTTTCCTAACTCATACAAATGAAACTCCCCACTGGCCTATTGATTCCAACATTTTGTGAGCAAGAAGCTGGCAATTAAGAAACACACACCTCAGCTTCAATGATAGGGAAATCTGGATGAAGTTTGCGACCAACGAGAGGATAACGAAGTCCGGTGAGTTTGGCGTGTTGAGCAATATCCACAGCCCGGCCACCGTAGGTTGAAACAAGATGAACAGCGACATCTCGATCAATGCCATACTCCTGAGAGAGTTGAATGGGGAGGTTGGGTGACCAACCGTGTGCTCCGTTCAGGCGCAAACCAAGAGTTTGGCACTTCGATTTGGGTTTAAGCCCGCAGACCTGTGTGAGAATGGTAACAATTTGTAAAGACGAATCGAAGGAAGAGAGTTATGTAAGTGAAGGAGGCTCATTAAATAAGCATAAAGGTCAAATGAACATTCATAATTATAATTAAGCATAACAGTTGAGTTGGAAGGGGAGCAAGCATTCTGGAGTCTATTAAAAATCGACCTCATGACTTATTACGTAGCAGACATACACTTTGACCATCACGATCATTCGGCGTTGCAGTTGGTTCCAAGCACAATTTCAAATTCAGTCTGGGGGTTCAGGCAGTTATCAAGAATTCTACTGATATTCGCAGAGTCCTATAACTGCAACCATAGCCTTATTTTTAAAATATAACGGCTACATAATAGATTTGAATAAACGACGATCTTACATTGGGGTGCGCGATAGACTACCTACATGTGGTGCACCCTGGACAATGTATGCTCATATATCAAAAAAGCCTATAATCCAGCAGTTGACTTCTGACTTCAAACTACCATGATCCCACTGTAGGTCATACTTCACCACTTCCACAGTACTCACCTTACCTTACCTTTTACTTTACCTTTGTGTCAGTCTGTCTGTCTCTTTTACATCTGTGAATCACTCTTCTGTTCCCCCTCTCCACTTTTTGTTACTTTGGTGTTCATTTTCCTTTCCCACCCCTTGACTTTCTTCTACTTTGATGGACCTTCCCTCTTCTACCCCTCGACTTTCTGCTACTTTGATGCACCTTCCCTCAACCCTTGGACTTTCTGCTACTTTGATGAACCTTCCTTCTGTGAAGGCCTGTCTCTTTTACGTCTGTGAATCATTATTCTGTCCCCCTCTCTCGACTTTTTGCCACTTTGGTGTTCCTCTTCCTTTCTGTATGTATGACTTTTTGCCACTTTGGTGTTCCTCATCCTTTCTGTGAAGCACTTTTTGTTACTTTGGTGTTCCTCCCCTCTGTGAAGCCCAAAGTCAACTCCAATTAAATTTTGATGTTTGAACAGAGTTCTTTCCTCCCAATTGAATCCTTCTAAAAAGACCAGTCGTGATTACGAGTATACTCTGCGATTTTTCCCTCAGTACAACTACCTTATTTGATATAAGAACACATAGGGCGTTTCAAGCAATTTTTGATGTTGAAAGAACTCCAGAGTCAAATTGGGACATTAACAACAAAATTAGCTTATATCCTTGCTACTCCTATTGAAGCTTAGTCAAACTAAGCTATTTCAATGAGATAAACTTTCTTGCCTTGGAGTCCTATGCCCAGATAATTAAATTTATCAAGTTACTTTGGAAGCTGACACCATTATCCTTTTAATGATGTCCATCCTAATTTGGAACAGTACAACAAGCCACTCATTAAATGCCAAGCAAGACACGCATTCAAAAGTTTACAAAAAAATTGATTTTCAAAGTTCTCAAGCACTTACCACGTTATTGTAACAATTGAAACAGCCACTTTCCCATTTAACCGCGTTTAGCTTCTTTGATTCTACCTGTGGTCTTATAAACGCTGCACTTTCCCACAAATGTGAATTAGGGGCAGGTTAGAACACAACCCTCTAGTTGTAGTACCAACAATGACTATCAGAATTACTAGCAGGTTTCCACCACTCTAGCCTCAGTCTACAAAATGCTAGGTTATATTTTAAAAGTAATAAAGAATGAGAAAGACTTCAACTAATTTCAATAATCACCTTGATACACTCATCCACCGTCTCCTCAGCCATCTTACGGTAGGTCGTCCATTTACCACCGGCAATTGTTATGAGGTTATTATCACCGACATTGATGATGTGATTTCTTGCAATAGACTGGGTGTCCTTTGAGTTTGGATCCGAAACCAAGGGACGAATGCCAGACCACACGGAAAGCACATCGCCTCTTCGAACTGCAGCGAGAAAAAAAAGACAGCATGTGAAAGAATGTGACAAAGCGGGTATGCAGCTCTTCACATCAGATACTGTCACATTTCAGTTGATAAGGCCATAACGAACTCAATATACCGGCTGTCATCGGATTAAATGCAATTCAGGGACCTATGTCCTTACCCGCACGCCTTGGCTTTTATCAACTCGAGTGTTATTGGGGGGGAAGCAAAAAGTCCTCATAGCACGTTTTGACTACGAAGTTATTAGTAGCACTCCTTGGGTCAAGATTTTTATTACCACACCTAAGTAAGATCAATGCAAAAAAAGGTACTTCCCCCTGTATTGAGTACGTGTAACTCATATATGCCACATTTGCAAAACTCAACAATGCCAAAGGATAGACCGCATGCCTATCCTGGAAAGTACTCCATATGGATTATAAACTCAAAAAGTATATAAGCAATTATCGACGTATTCCTGCATAGTAGGCTTAAACACCTTGAGACAGCTGTACAGTCGTTCCATGAACGCCTGTGACTCGAAATACACGAAGAGGCAAAGTTAGAAGCGAAAAATCCTTGAAAATCAATAAATACAATAAAAGAATTAAGTGCAAAGAGCAAACAGAACGAGCAAATATAAACTATATTAATACAAAAATGTTTATACCGTGAATGAATTCGAAAGAACTATATTCTAGAGTGAATTTACTGAAGCTCTCATTTTTCTAACACACAAAAAAGATGAAATTGAAGGTTAATCAATAAAGACTTATGAAAAGCATTGTAGAAATACTACTCTAAAAGTGCCCCACAAACACGAACAAATGTAGGTTTTTGATTGAAAGCGCGAACTAGGCCAGTTGACTATAAACAATTTCACGCACCTTGCAAGTCATTCGACAAATAGCTTCTAACCTCCGAAAGAATGAATTGAACATCATCGTCTGTTGGCTCTGGCGAGGCGGTCACTTTACAAGGATGATCAGTGGTACCCGCCACTACATGACCAAGCCAAGGCAAGAAGAAAATAACTCTACCGTCAGTAGTTGATGGATCCAAAAGACCCATGTGTTCAGGACTAGAAGGAAGGTAATTTAAGTAAGCACGCACCTCAATAAACCGACCGCCAATCAAGAATACCGGAATTCCTTACCTGTAGTAATTGGGCAGAACAATGTGGACACCAGAGCTAGGCTGACAAATCGATTTAACCTTATCATTCTCCATCTTGCGAATGTCGTCGGTGAAGGGTCCAGCAGCGTTGACAACACAACGAGCACGCACCGTGAACTCCTTGCCTGTGAGACGATCCTTCATTCGAGCACCATTCACTACAATTTTTGGGTTGCCATTAGAATCTTTCTGTTTCGGATCCTCACTAGGGCCTTTGAGCAGCTCCAACACCTCCACGTAGTTGGCAATAACAGCGCCATGACGACAAGCAGTGAAGGCGACGTCAAGGCACATTCTTGCGTCATCATGCTGACCTAAAATGGAGTTTTAGTGACTTAAGGGACATGCGTGACAAAGGATGACGTTAGTGATGGCATTACGTTCAATTGTTGTGTAAGAGAGCATATAATATATTGCAGAAAATTGTAATACAAATCGTAAATAAATAGAGAACTAGATGAAACCATCAGCACGACAGAATTAAATTATCGAATGGCCAATTTGATATCAGTAGAGAGAAGAGTTAGCGTCTAAAATTAAGTGAGAATAGTAGGAGACTTGGGGTAATAGCTACAGGGTGATTGCGACTAAGCTAAGGGAACAAATAAGAAGGAATGAACATTACTTAGCATTTATTTCCTTAACAAAATTAGCATTTTGTTCTAGGTTATCTTGCCTGCTATCGGAACACCATTTAGCCTTTAAGGCACACACGTGCGCGTCATCATAACTGAATTTGTTGACTAGAGGATAATTAGAGCGTGGAGGAATTTTGAACTTGCTTTCACGTCTTCCCTTACCCACTGCCACACTTTGCAAGTTTTAGGACACTCTAATGTTTATAAAAAGAACAGAAAATATGCGAGGAACACACATAGTATTAGTAGTGAACGTAGGAATTAGCCCACAGCCTCCCAAGGCCCTTGAAACCCCACCGTAGCAACGATGACGGCATTGATTTGTGACAAAAGAGCATTCTGCTGTCACGTAGCACCGCTATCTTTGCACACTCGAACAAATAGTATTCGAGGCAACCTCTTGCAACTTAAACACACCTGGGGATATTTATAAGGAGTTTAGTTGAACATGATTACTTTGAGTGTAGTATAAAGGAATCAAAACCCTAGTGTCGTTTTGAATTCAAGGCCAAAAAGCCCAGATGACGAAAAATAGACAGGAGAGGTTCAAAATGGCCATCAGAACTCTTCGGTAAGTGAAGGAATCACAAAAATATGAAGGGTAAAATTAACTTCATATTATCCGTAAGCACTAATTAAAAGCGTGTAGTATTAAACAAACCACACGGCAACAATAAGTGCATGAACCAAAGATATCGTGGACGTGACCGGACACAGAAAGAGACAGTAAAATGCACAACCTCATTGCAACAGTGCATGGACTTTGAATGCAGAACAACCGACCCTGGCATCCAAAATAAAATATGCAGTATTTAACATGGGGGATTGGGTTTTGCAATGTCAAGCTCTTTTGTGGCTAACTTTAAAATGCAAATATGCTGAGATGGCATTACAGCTAGCCCTATTTAAGCAATTTGCTGATGAGTCCAGAACACCACTGATGTGAAGTCATCGAGGAATTGTGAGATAAATGCTGAAAATTGAAACTTGGCACATTAAGAAATGATGCAGAGAACAGTGATAAAACTGGTGAATATGGAATACGATCGAGGAAGCGCACATTGGCTCCCTGACTTTACTCCTTGCACATATTAGGCCTCTGCCAATGGATAATTTAATGTACTCCGAGTTCAAATGCTTTCTTTCACCAAAGACACTGTTATGATCTACAAGTCAATAACCCAGTTCGACACCTCTCCTGCATATTCTTCTACACCTTAGTATGAAGTCCGTCTGTTGATTCCATATCCCGTCTTAGCGGCATCTCCCTACTTTAGGGGTTCATTCAGACGATAGGTATAGAATCAGGGTGCTTCTACCCCCGAACAATCCCATCGGAAATTTTTAAACAAGTTTTGGAAGAGCAACTGTCTAGAAATTCACCAAAACAGCTTTTAACTTTCCTGTACCTTCCATTCCACCTGGTCCGTGAAATTCGATTCGGGTGTCAGGAACACAAGACTGAATTTACTACTGAATTCACTGAAGGATCTCCATACTGATCCTTTTTGACAACTTTTACTTTCGATTCTTCAGACTGGGAAATTGATTCTATAACCCGACTGACCTTTGATTTGCATGTCTGAGTTGGTTCAAAAGCCGTAGTAATACGATAAGTATAGTCATTCAGCTATTACCATGCCCTTTGGTGAGAGAAAGCCAACTAAAGCACTATGGAAGTTCAGAAGATTTTTCACTAAATAATTCAGAAAATTATAGTAGTTTCATCAAAATTAAGATTTAAAATATTTATGAAATGAAGGAATCATCTAAGCTTTCCATTTTCAACCTTTTCTAACCACCGCAACAGTAATCTAAGTTTTAAATCACCTGGAGAGATATCTTTTCGGAAAATATAATCAATTTCCAAATCTGATAGGAAAAATTTGACCTACATTTGGGTCATAGTGAAGTGGATTAATCTGTAGAACTGGAATATCTGCAGACGGTAAGGATAGGAAATGGCAAATATCAGTGCTCATTCTCATAAATCTTGCAGCATCAAAAGAATATTTTTGTTTCTTCCAAAATACTTCATTCGGTCCTCAAAATAAGTTAAAATTCATTCAAAGAAAAGTCAATCAACGTGTCCATTCGGACAAACTTCACCAAAATCACACACCCAGCCAGATACCTATATGCCATACTCCTATTCAAACATTCGATCACACGACAGACATCCGAGTATCTAACGTGAGTTAGAAAATATAACAAGACGTGACAAGTACACCCGAAGTTCTCATTTATGCTAAACATGCTAACCAACAGTGGGTGTGGTCTCATGAAAAAGCACATCTAAGCGATTAAATCGATTTAAATTCCATTCTCTTGATTGTGTTCCGATGTTTAAGACATGAACGACAGTGTGTGTCGCAGTTCAAAAGGGGGGGGGGTGTGAGTGTGACCACACCTCATTAAGTGATACTCAAAGCCTAACTTTGATTATCACGACCCACCCATACCTCCACAAGGCATACAAACACAAATTGGCACCGCCTTTCTTCGCGTAAATGAGTTAAACACCGCCGATTGCTGTCTTCAACTCCACGACAGGATGATAGGAATTCGAAATTTCTAATTATACCGGAACATCGAAATATGAGAGCAATGCCACTACACAAAATAAGGAGTGAAAAGGAAACGAGCCGAAAAATAGGGATGGAGTTTAAGAGATCACACATCAGTACCAATATCCCAAAGCACCCTGAAGTTCAGGAGATAGTAAGGAGAATTGGAAAGAAATCCCATCCTAAACTCATGGTGAGAACAAATAGAACAATATGGCGAAGTTCATTTCAATCTATCACGTGGAAGAAATTTAAGCAAAGAACAGTGAAGCTATCAGGTGTATGCGCAGAATGAAAACCAATGCAATAACACCAGGGACAACATTTGTTGAGCGAAAATTGAAAATTTCTGACTCCTTAAGTATTTCATAAAGAACAAAAGTGGTTGAAACACCCCCCCCCCTTCCTCGACACTGACATCAAATTCAATGCGAGTCTCTTCGAAAGATCCTTGAAAAAAATAACATATATACTGCCCACCTCAGTAATCAAGGAAAAAAAATAAAAATAGAGAATTCCTGACCTTTCTTCAAACTATTCGGCCTCCATTAAGGTTATGAATCTGCGGTTAGGAATTGTGTATTGCGTGCTATCCTTAGTAATAAACAATTCCTCACTGAGATCATGTTTACAAACTCCAATGATTGCTGAACAAGTAGACTACATTGAGTGGTTATTCGTGCAACTAGTTAATGCAAGGAAATAAGCCATAAGAAGAATGGCTGAACGTAAGTTTCTAGAAAGGAGTAACTCAGAAATATCTTTAGCTACCAACGAAGAGTTTAGGAGAATGCATCGTTTCGAGAAAGCGGTAAGCTCACCATCGTAGTAGACCAGAGCCCCCTTTAGTTTGTCTTCTTTCAAGTGGGGGAAAATCTCCATGGAGCGAGATTTGTTGAGGAAGTAGCTAGACTTGAGAATCTGTGTACCGGAGACAAGATCGTACATCTTGATACCCATCCAGTAATAAGGCACTTGCCACCATCTGAAGAGCGCAAAAAAGGAGGGAAAAGTGGATTAATTTAGTGAGTACTAGACTACACACACCTGGTTGGACATCCTCCAAAAAATTATTACATTAAATGTATACGCTTAAGAACTTAATAAAGGACCACGATTCCTACAGAACTGTGGAGTATAATCCAAGGAACTCTCAAGGTCACAACAATTCCGAAAAAGACACCCCGTTTTTTAGCAAAAGTGTGAAAATGTTCACCAACATTGACTCTCTAATTTTAGAACAACAACTGAAATGAATTACTGAAATTTCTCCAACTTCTAGGCATCTCTTAGGTGCGAGAAGGATGATGGTTTGATGAAAGCACCACAAAAAGGTACGACGAGGTACGTAAATGCTATTTAAGTAATTTCAAACCGATATTTAAACCAAACCCATTCACGTAATACTACAATGTACTACTAGCAAATTATTAACAATATCAAGCAGAGTAAATGTCTCATTGGTGTGGGGGGAGGGAGGGGGAGGAGAGTATGGCTTCAAATCCCACCTTTACATTGTCAAAGAAAGGAACTAGAATGTGGTTTTACAATAAGTTCGTGAATTAAAGTTAATGGTATAAAGACCATGCGATAATCGAGATCATTGACTAGAATGAGGCATAACTCATAGGCGGTTATGCTTTTGTAAATAATAACTTACATTATCTCAAACCACACGTCATAGAAGCTGTAAAGGGTGAAGAAGACTAACCCTGACAAAGTACAAAGTACGCATCGAAATGATAATGATGTATAGGTGTCTACGTGAATCACACTTGGGTGTTACACTTTATATATATGTATATAGAAGCAAGCACAACTATGAAGAGAGTTTAGAGCAAGTTTGAAAAATGCTTTTTTGCATACATTCATTCAATTTAAATCAGCGTTTAAGTTAAGCATAATGCAATTAGATTGAATATCAAATTAAAAGATTTTGTGACTGCTAATGAAGATGCCAAGTAATCAAAATAAAACAAATTTTAATGTTGGCGTAGAGTGCAAACATTTGCGAAAAAAATGAAGGAAACACGATATACAGAGATTCACAAAAAAAACATTCAAAAGGTAAACATACCTGAGAAAAAAGGCTTGGATGCAAGAAACTTACGACATTTAAGAACAAATTCGTAGCCATAAGCAGATGAGCACAAAATGAGAAAGAATGGGCCAAAATAAGCTCTTGTCAAAAGGAGCTTTGTGAAAAAGCGTTTTCCAAAACTTTTCGCTACTGTCACAATCAATTTAATTGCACTGGATAATGATTATCAAACTTGTAATGGTGATTTCTACGCGGAAGGGAGATTGGGTACATTTTTAAATCAGAAGAAGGCATCGTTTAAGGATTGGGAATAAAAATTATTTAACGATGTATCTAACGGGACAACTGATAGAAGCTTTATTAAGCGTGCCGATATCTCACCGCAACTGCTGTTAGGAAATGCATAGGGAAATAAATTAATCTATCAAACTGAAAAGCATTGATCTTCGTCCCTATAGTAAATAATATCAATACCTACTGTGCTCATCAGCCTCTTAATTAAGGCTACAACTGAAACAAACACATAGAGAATCGAGAAACACACTCCTACTTTTAAAAAAACCAACGACAAAGACACGAAAAACTTATCTTCATCAGGAGATAAAATCTTGAACAAAGAGAGAGGACTAATAAATTATATCTAAGCGCGTTGAATGACTAAAATCTCAATTAAAGTAATAGGAAACTCACTTGTAAACCGGTAACATAATAGGGAGAGGGTGGGCCAGGTGAGGTGCAATATTCAGCAAATTTGCGCGCTCACTCAAAGCCTCCCGAACCATGCGAAATTGTTCAATATCCAAATTGAAGACGGCTTTCTGCAGGTAGCGAACACCTCCATGAATAAGCTTAGTTGAACGACTAGATGTTCCCGCAGCAAAGTCCTGCTTATCGACTAGACAAGTACTCAACCCTAAAAGCAAAAGTTCAGTACATGAAAATGTACATACTCAATTCCTAAAAGAATTCTATTTCAACAACCACAAACGCATCTAGCTATAGCACTGACAATCCATACTAGTTAATATTGAATTAAATAGAATGCAGTGGTTGAGAATAGCAAGATAGGCCTGATTTGATCTTCTATTCTAAATTGAAGAGAAAGTAATTAAAAATTACCTGAAGGCTGCTTTTAATAGAACATCTACTTTTTTCATAAAATTTAAATAAGAGTCAATTATGCCGCTGGTGTTTAGTACAGATCAACTCGCTAAATAAAAACCAAATGACATTGAATCACGCCCACAAAAGCGTTAAAGGAACTGAAAAAAGATACTAAGAAAAGTCAGTCGATAAGATTAGTAAAATTACTTTAAAAGAAAACGGTTATTTTGACATTAAGTGTATTGTAAATAAACCAGTAGCACTTATAGAACTGCACTTAACGAAAGTACACGCCCCTAATTCTCAGTATTTCGGACACCTAAATATTTCCATGAAAAGTTGTTAGCAATTGGACTATGAAATGATCAGTGATAAGAATGCACACAGGAGTAATCATCTTTCTACAGTGTCAATAACTTTTAATAAATTAACTTAAATTTATTTCCCAATTTAGGATCCAACCAAGCAATAATAAGAACATTGTATTTTAAAAATCTGGAATGGTAGAGCTTGTTGCTATCTTGGATCATTTATCATTACATAAAAAAGGTAAACAGATTAAAAATTGACCAAAGTGGAGAATTGAAAAGATACATTTTTTAAAATTAATTCTTCTGAATGGCCGAAAATAACCCAATTATAAGAATCCTTAAATAAAACCATATAATCTAAACTTAATGCCAACACTTATACTGAAACAAATGGAGTTTAGAGTTTTCTAGCTAGCAATGAGCGCATTGATCAAGAATTAAATACTACAATGGTATATGATACCGGATCCCAAAACTGACCTTAAGATAACTTCTACCACCATAGTTACGCATTTAAGAAATAAATGTATCAAAAATAACCTCGAGTAATTGCATCGAGCGCAACACCAGTGCCAGTAGCTCCACCGCCAATAACCAATACATCGAAAATCTCATCTCTATTCATCATACGACTGATATTGTGTTGACGACTAGTGAGGGGACCACGAAAAAGTGCGAGCTCTTGCTCTGTAGGTGGAGGTCGAAGGCGACAAGCCTACCAGGATATAAATATTCAAATATTTCAATGTTAATCGGACTCAATAGCGTAACAAACTACTTACGCGCATTCTCTTTGCTTCAAGTAGTCTTGGAACGATTTCCATAAAAGCCACGGTCCCCACGCCAGCAGCGGTACCACCTATCACTATCCGTTTCCATGTCAAACGCATTCCGAAAATTTTTACCACCATCTTTAATAATAGCAAGTGTGGGAAATAAAATAGTCAATAAACTAAGCTTGAAAAATAAAAATATAGTGCAATAGATTAGATAGCTGTTAGCGAATTGTTTAAGAACGGAATAGTTACTTTGTGACAGATGCCAAGGACACGAATTCAATGCTAATAATAAATGTAACGTAGTTTGAATTAGTGAAAACCTATTTATGTTGAGCAATAAATGAACCAATTAAATAGGGCAACACTACAATAATCTGAAAGCATAGCCATATATCAACGAAGAGTTTTAAAAGTGGGGTCACTTACGATAGCGATAAATGCAACTACTGAAATGAAACGATACGAGAAAATATTTATGTACGTTAGGACCACTTTAAGTGCTGGAAATGTGCTGATGAGGCTCAAGGACGTTATATAGTAAAAAGTATTACAATTTAAACCATTTTAACACCAAGCTAAATGATAAAACTCATATAATTATAAATAGAAAATACTATTATTAAAAAATATTTATTTTTGATAAAATGAAAATAAAACTACTGTATCAAATATGGAATTTAAAGAGACTTAATGTCACCTAGATATAAATGAGAATACCATTTCAAACGCATACAAACGAATTAGATGGATTTTAAAAATGTTTTTTCGTTCTCAGTTAGTGTTAAAACCGAATCGCTAGATTATTGTATACATCAATGAGCCCATCTTTGGCATAAGCATCAAGGCATGTGTGAAACAGCTCTTTTTTTGATCCTTTGTAAACTTCCCAATTGTAAATGCTCCATTAAATTTATAAAACTACATTAATTGCTTACTCTAGATGAAAGAGAATGATTAATAAATGCAAATGCTTGTTAAATGGCTAGGAGAGTCAGTATCGTGTGGCAGTGATAATTCACATTTAATCGTTGCCACCTCACTATATGACAACGACTTATTTATACTACAATTTCAGTTTTTCTCATCGGGTTGAGTATTTGAGAAATAATTATAAAGATAGAATGATATTTGTACCTCTTTATAATGATTTCAGAAAATTCTGACCAATTAATTCATCGTACTAAATAAAGCATGTGTTAGGTTTTTAGGTATACTTCTAATTCGTTACTTCTTAGTAACACATAGGACACATTTTTGCCTTTTAATGCTCATCGTAACTGATACGAAACGTTTTACTAATTCACGATATACATACATTTCACTACATTTACGAAATAGATACAGGCTCAAAATTAGTAAGTAATCGAACTATTTGAGGTCAAAGTATTTTCAATACCTTTTCATGACTCTTCATTAACTATGAAATCAAATTTTGTTAGAAATTTTTCACATTATTTTCTTAATTAAACTCCTCAACAATATATTTAGTATACACTACTCTTTCCTTAAATGAACATTATACTAAGACAAGATTCAATAATTGTACATTGGCTTATCGATGTTATGTTATTTTAAAAAGAAAATATTCCTGAAAGTGTTTCAGCGTTATCGCCAACGTCCTTGATGGGTCCTCACGTGGGCCAGTGCCTGCGCGCTTTATTTTATCAAGTTTTTAGGTGTGATATTAGTAAATTTTACCTTTATCTTACAATATTCTCGTTTAGTTTAACTGTGTAATTTATTTATTTCCGTATTTTTACTAGTTATTGTACGCAATCATTTCTTATTTTGCTAATGCGTTTGATATACAACAAATTTTACTTCTTTTTTTACTAACCGTATATTCGTTCATTAATGCTGTGTTGGAGTATTGATGTGATGTATTTATTCATTTTGTGTCACGAACTTATCAAGTACTAGCCTTATTTTTATTTTCAAGATGAGAGTTCCAGATCATGAGATACCAAATTTAGACGAAGAGTCCAACAAGCGCTTACAACAATACTTGTCACATCTAAAATGGGAACAATTGGCTGCTGGCATCGCAAGTGGATCAGTAACCACGGCAATTCTCCATCCTCTAGAGCTAGCCAAAATTCGTCTTCAAGTTAATGAGGGAAACAGAGTTGTTAAAACACGGTATGTATTTTGCTGAAAATCGTTATTGTTGTATTGTGCATTGGGTTATTTTCGGTTTTGAATACGTCTATAAGGTATTTGACACAGACATCCCCATACACTATAGGTTGTTTCGTGCAATTCAGATCATTTTTCTATTTTTAAACCCAGTTTTGTTATCCATTAATTATTTCGTGCGCTATGTAGAAACAATTGCCTTCAATAACTTAATTTTCCTCTCCTAGACAATTGTAGGTAATACATCTACTTTTTCACTCTTCTCTGTAGCACTGATATTAGGATGATAAGTTATTTGGGTACGAAATTCATTAAGTTCCTTAATTTTTTGCAAGAGTACCAGATTTTCTTATTGCTACAACTGCATGCTTGAGTTTTAGGTAAGTTTTTTCTGCTCTATTACCTATTTACCAATAGGGTCTTTATTCTCATTGTCAAAATAGTGTACTTAATGAAAAAAAAGAAATATTGACAAAAAGGAGTTCTCATTGAGTTTCATGTCTCTTCTTCCCTCTACCCCTGGTCAGTTGCATCGGTAGTGGTATGCTAAGATTAGTTGTTTAACTTTCTATAATCATATCAGTGGCTGTGTGTCGTTAAGGATTGTGACACCATGTTTGCCTTTTTTCGACTAAATCCTTTATAATTGTGCCATTTCTTTATTCCAGTCCCACCAGCTCCCGATTGTTCGGAACACTGCGAGAAGTCTACTGTGCAAAAGGTGTAATCGGTCTGTATCAAGGTTCTGCAGTCAATATAGTCGGTAATGCAGTTGGATGGGGACTTTATTTCATGCTGTAAGTTGTATTGCTTCCTCTATGCTTTAACTGTTTCCCCTATTTCTTCAAATTTCCTTTTTCTCTCTGCCTTGCATAGCTATGGGGCACTGAAAAATTATGCACAAAACGGAGACCCCTGTAAGCAACTGGGATCGGCGGAATATCTTGGGTTAGCCACAATATCAAGTAAGTTGGTCTTCTCCGATAATTGTGAGGGAAGGAGTGAAATTTAATGCCTCGGATGCGGTCCTATCTCACTTTTCTATTGTTCTATAACCGCTTTACTTCTTTAGGTCATTGATAGTGCATTTGTCCAATCGTGAACTCTTTAATGGGTCCTCACCCGTCTTTTTTGCAATCAGGGCAAAACAGTTTAAAGCAGAAAAATGTGATTTATTCCAAATGCCTACGCAGGCGTTTTGGTAGTTATCATTAACCATTTAGCTGACTTCGGGCTTCACAGAGAGGAGAAGGAACATCAAAGTGACAAAAAGTCGGGAGGGGGGGGACAGAATAATGATTCCCAGATGTAACAGAAGTAGACAAAAGGCAGAGAAAAGGTAAGATGAGTACTGTGAAAGGGGGTCATGGTAGTTTGAAGTGAAAAGTCAACTGCCGGTTAATAGACCTTTTTGCCATATGAGTATACGTGGTGGTAAGTCTATCGCACACCCGGCGGTGAAAATTTGGAAGGCTTAAATTGTCTTAATCTTAAAATCAATTCCACTTAATTTTATCATTATTTTTTCCTGTTAGCGGTCATTTTCTGCTCGCTCTCCCCCTCACTGTTAATTCCCATTTGATTGTTGACAGACGCTTTGAAGCAAAACGAGTACAGTTTTCATGACTGCGAGTAAATCATTCTCTCTCCCTCTCCTTCATATTAAAAATTGTATCTCTCATAACCACCACCTTAATTCCAGCGTCTCTTTCGGAGTGGAGAGAAGAAAACGAAACGCTTCTTTCTTTGTGAGTGGTGCTTCTCTTCTTTAAGGGGGGGGGCGAATATAAAGCCGATTTCAGATTGGATTATTAGGCTGATCGAGTGTACGAATAGTCACTAATGCTACACAGATAAAACGACCATTAGCAATCATATCGTGTAGTACATGAGGTAGGAATTCCGTCTTCACAATTTTGGACTTCTGTGTAGAATATTCGATTCTGATTTTCATTAGCTTTTTGCCTTAAATATGAGTTGATTTACCTATTGCGTTGAGCGATTTGTTTGCCTGACGCGATACAGTTTGGTCCTAGATGTTGATACACCCTTTATCATCTTTAAAGCACGCTTTTTTCGTCTATCAAGTGATAGTCTAACTCTCAACCGCTTTTTGCATGAAAAATAGCTCTTTTCACTCTAATTAGCCACCATGAAGTATGTTCTCTCATTAGGTGTACTCGCCTTACCTTTGTCCTCTACCTTTGTGTCGGTCTCTTTTACGTCTGTGAATCACTCTTCTGTTCCCCCCCGTCTCGACTTTTTGTGTCGCTTATGTTCCTCCCCTCTGTGAAGCTCGAAGTCAACTAAAGGACTAATTATAACTATCATAAAGCCCACCATTTGACATAAATAAATAAATAAATCACTTAGTCTCTGATTCATGATCACCACCTCGCAGCTGGCGATTTTACAAATCGGGGGTTATCCATTCCTACTAAGTGAAATATCTGGACAACTTGTGGTCCTTTTTTTTCACGGAACGTAAATTTGGCCACTTCTTTTATTTCGTGAAGCGAAAAGCTTTACGATGGCAAATAAAGTATTAATAGATGTTGGTCAAGTTAGTCGGAATTATTTTATGACTGAATTCTTATTTTGCAATCGTTTTCCCAGTCGTTACTTACTTTCCAATGCTATCGGGAAGATGGGCTAATTGAGTGTGGCATTGGGAAAGAATCTCATAAATTCAGACCTCATAATGAGTTCCCATTTAGGCTTGACCACGGATAACCCCTTCTACCCTCAAATTGACTCAGTAAAATTCCACGTGACCTTGATAAGACCCGTACTTTCAGTGAGTTTTTGAATCTTTTGAATTTAGTGCACATTAGGTAACAATATTCACTCATTTGTCTGTATCCGACATGTCTAAATGCCAACAATTTGCAGTCTTAAAAAGAAGCTTCGAAGGTTGTTTCCTCTCTCTCAATATTACATAATTTCTTGGGACTTTTTGAGAAACTTATAAGGTTGTCCACTGACACCCACAGTGTCAGTCAGCTGATATGGATTCGTGTCAACTATTAATTTATACAAGCATCATCCTTAAGCCTGTCTTATTAACTTCAATACATTATGTAATCATCTTTAGAAGCAAGGTGTTAATTCGATTTTTTTTCGTTTAGTGAAGATGTAACTATGAATCTTTGCTAATATTAGACCCCTCTACGAAAATTATTGCTTTCAGTTTTTACTTTGTTCGTTTCCAGATGTACGGGAACTGAAATACTCAGTGTTCGCCTATTATGCCCCCATACGTCATATATTTGTTATTCTTCTTTTTCAGGCACAGCCGTATTGTGGATGACCAACCCCATCTGGATAGCGAAAACTCGAATTTGTCTTCAGTACGAGACCATCGCATGCAACGCTTCCGCGTCCATGTCCCCTAACCGCCTGACAACGTGGCGATGTCTTTGCGACATCTGGCGGTCCGAAGGAATCCGAGGTTTCTATCGAGGCTTAATTCCTGGCATGTTTGGTATCACTTCCGGCGCTTTGCAGTTCCTCCTCTATGAGCAATTTCGAAATCAGTATAATGGTTACTATCAGAGACCTATCGACACCCATCTTGTACGGTAGTAAACCATACTCCATTTGTTGGGAGTGAACATCTGCTTTTAAATCCAATTTTCCACCTTTTAGAAAGCTCCTGAATATCTTCTAATGGGAACTATTTCTAAAGGTTTGTCCACGACAGTGACATACCCATTCCAGGTTATCCGAACTCGTCTACAAGAACAGCATCGCAGCTATAGTAGTCTTTCATGTCTTTTGAAGTCTATTTGGAAGTATGTGTATTTCTCATCATTAAGGCATACCACAAATCGATATATCTTTGCTTACATAGTTTCGTTTTGCTTTTCAGATTTGAGGGAGTAAGGGGCTACTACAAGGGACTTTGGCCAAACCTTTTGCGGACAGCTCCATCTTGCGGAATAATGTTTGTAGTGTATGAAAACTCCCTGTGCTATCTCACTTCGCATTGACTTTTGGTCATTTCGATTGCGCCCCCTCCTCCTATTGTGATGATTGACCACCGGTGGTTGTGGTGGTTAGAAGAGTCGCTGTCTCTTTCACTGTGTTTACAGATATTTGTAAAGTTGCAGTTTAGTTATTGGGCTCTTTTAATGGTGGACTTGAGGGCATGGATGAAGTCAATTTTACACTTGTAATTCTAGCATGTCTAATTTCGGACACATTGATTTAGATGTCAAGTAGACATCGCAGACCGTAGAGACTGGATCATCTCTCGCTATTTACACTCTGCTTATTTACATCTTACATACTCGTGTTACTTGACTTCAGGCCCTTTCATTTTTACTTGCAATAGCTGAGCGGAGTGCATCCTCATTACTGATAAGAGCATTGAGCAAGATATGAACTCTTCTGCTTTGAACTCTGTTTCTTGTCTTCTTATTAAGGCCAAGTGTTGGATTCTACTAAATATAATGCCAATTGGAATAAGATACTATGGCCTATAGGCTAGCATAGTCAACTGCAGACTATGCAGGTGATACGATGTAAATAAATGTCAGCCCATTAATAAACTTGTTTAAAATGGGTGGTGTCATCAAGGCCGAGTTAAACTACAGAGTGTGAGTCACTTCTGAGCTAACCAAACCTTATTTAACCCCACTACAAACAAAATATATGATAGAAATACTTGTATTGGCAAAGAACAAAGAAGGCGAGGTTTGTATGAACCCTTTTTAAGAAGTTTAATATGAGAGGGCGAGTAGTCTGTGATGTATACGAAGGATGGAAATAGGGATCAGGAAGTCTGAAGTAGGAGGAGTGAGAGGAAGCAATCATGCTGCCACAACAACTTCAAATCTCTCGACAAAAGGACATGAAAATGAGGACATGCCCTCGTCTATCCAAGAGTCACTGTTCCCCCATGTTTGTCCAGGCTCTGCCCTCATGTCAACCTGTGTGCGCGCTTTCAGCTCTAATAAAAAGAAGTATTAACTTAGTTTCTTCAGCAATGTGCTTGGTATTCTCTAAGGTAACTCACTCCTTGTTTAGTTGACTGCAGAAATGCCCACAGCAGATGAGATTTGACTTCTGTCAAGGAGAAATATAACAATGCAAACCCTAGTAAATATTTTCCCTTGAAAAAAAAGAGTGCATTATTTCTGAAAAGAAACCTCTTCTCTTGCATTAGCTATAGGTATGACGTTATACTGCACTTAGTTCGCGTTGACCTGTGAAAAGTTTTCGTCATAACAGCACTTACTTGCGCTGGCAATTCTGCTTGTAGAGAGTAAGAATTTTCGAGATGTTCAGCATGTGCTAGGCAAAAAATGTGGCCATTACGGCAAGGAAATAGATGTTTGGATATCGTTGTCACCAAACTCAAATTTTAATAATCAACTACAACTTTCAAGAGGAAGAAGAAGAAGACAGTGCGCATTAATTGCAGTTGAAATAAATAGTACTTTAATTAGCGTTATATTTTCGAATTGGGGTGTGAGATAGACTTACCTCCACATGGTGCACCCTGGGCAACGTATACTCATACGGCAAAAAAGTCTATTAACGGACAGTTGACTTCTCACTTCAAACTGCCATCACCCCACTATATGTCATATTCGACTGCTTCCACTTTCCCACCTCACCATTTTCTACCTTTGTGTCTACCTCTTTAACATCTTTGAAACACTCTTTCCCCCCCCTCCCACCTCCATCTTAACTTTTTTCACTTTGATGTTCCTTCCCCTCTGTGAAGCCTGAAGTCAACTAAAGGGTTAATGATAACTATCAAAACGCCTGCCATTTGGTGTAAATAAATATTTTCGAATTATTATTTGCTTTGCACGGAATTTTCCTTAGTCGTCAAGTGCATTTACTCTGACGACTGGAGTTATCTTTATAATATGAGAAGAGTCATTGGTTAGATTTGCCATTTTTACTTCTGATCTAGTCGTTACATGCAAGTAAGTTATGTACTGCTTTCAAGAGGGACATTGGTCTGAAGCCCATAGGTGCATTAAAATACCGGACGCGCTATCCAACACCGGCTTGACAACTACGGTGAGTGAAGACGTGATATTACTGTTATTGATGTCAATATTGCTTTATGCCAAAAGAGTATGCCAATATGACCTTTTTAAATATACTTCTAAAGAGTGTTTTTCATTTTTTTGAGTACTTAACGATCATCTCTTTGGAGGAGGGTTACAGAAGTACAAATAAATAAATCGAACCACCGGAAAGTCAATAACAATGATTCAAAACAGGGGTGTGCGATAAACTTACCTCCACGCGGTGCACCCTGGGCAACGTATACTCATACGGTAGTTGACTTCTGACTTCAAACTACCATCACCTCCACTGTATGTCATATTCAACCACTTCCATAGTACTCGCCTCAACTTTTTCCTACCTATGTCTGTCTCTTTTACATCTTCTTTGTCTTAGTGTCACCAATAGTAGATTATACCGTTTTAGACAGAGAACAGGGTATGCATTGCAGGCTACTTAACTGGCTATAAATCATTTTAAACACGGGCCACCATAAAAGCTCCGATTGTGGCAAATCCATGATGAGGCTCTTTGTTTGATGTAAGTTTACACTGCCACGGAGTTTGGGAATGACAATGGATTCTGATTAAATACAATCTTGCATGCATGTTCTAAAGACATAGCTCTCTTGAGAGCCACAGTTTATCGGTAATGGCAGTAATTTGCGACCAATAAATTGAATCTATATTCACGACACTTCCCCTCCGATTCTGAGGTGAATAGCTTATACTAAAAGTGGATTTTATTCTCATTCACAGACTTGTCATGTGCATAAAAACTGCTATCACGAAAGATAGAAAAGTGGAAAATAGCTTAACTGGATATATATAATTTCTTTGCGTTGATTATTTCATTTCAACTTGCCAAATTTGGATTTGAATTGTACACTCAACTAACAAGTTTAACATTGGTGGGAGTGCTGATAAGTGCCTAATCAATTCTAAGGCCCTTTCATTAATAACCTCCAATACTTAAATACTAAATGAATAATAACAAGACAGGTTAATGTCATCAAAATTAAACTATACCTCGGGTAAGCAATTTTCATCAGTGGCCTCTAAGTTGCATCCAGTCCAATTATTATTCGGGCGTGTATCAATCTTGACGACTTGAAAATTCACCTGGATAGTATGATAGTATGAATGCTAGCGTACGCTAAATCAAAAAAACGACTTAAAGTAAATGCATTGCTATTCTTCAACACACACTTACTCTCCCTCTCTCACCAAGTCTACGCCACTTGATATCCAGTTATTTCTTGTGGACACACTGATCATAACGACAGGAACTAGAATTTTAAAAGACCCGAGGTAGCTAGCTATAATCAAAGAATCTGCTTAGCTGAATTCATTTCAAGTGTTTTCCCATTTAACTCTTATATCAGAATGGAAGAGAACAGCGTTAGAGCCAAAATTAAAATACATTTTTGATAGACAGTTTCAGGAAAAAGGTTCCTTTCAAAATGCTTTATTATTATTTCAAACGCCAGGCCTTATAATATTTATCATTAGCCCCTTAGTTAACTTCGGCTTTCACAAGGGGGGGGGGGGTTGGGGAGGAACATATATATAGGCTTCAGGACAGTTAATAGTAGTTCATTAGTTGTCTTCTTGCTTCCCAGTATCTCTGGGTTTCCGTCGTTGTTTTTAGAGCTGGACACCGAATCAGGTGGGTCTTCTCCATTTCCTCCTGTAGGTCACATAGGGGGCATGTTGGTTGAGTGTATACTCCTAATCTCTGAAGGTGTTTCGCCAGGCAATCTTGTCCGGTACGTAGTCTAAACTCAGCAACTGCTTCGATTCTTGGCCAGTAGGCTATGTCGAAGAGTGCCACCGTCCACTGTTTCTCCTTTGTTCGAGCTTTAATTTCGTCGCACCTTGAGGTCTTGAATTCTCTCCTGATTAAGGTCTTCATATTGTGGAAAGATATCGGCCAGTCCATGCCTTGCAAAATTGTAGCCCCCTTCTTAGCAAGTGCGTCAGCACGCTCACTGCCTTTAATGCCACAGTGTCCAGTGATCCATTGTAGAACCAATGTTATGTTTCTTTCTCGTAGTTTTTTACATTCGTATATCTCGGCTGTATTGGGTGCCTATATTTCCGACTGAATTTACTACTGACTGTGAGTCCGAAAGAATTATTGCTTTGGTGAATTTCGTATCCAGGGAGCATAATTGGCCTAGTGCTATCTTATTGGCCTCTTTTTCTCCTTCGAATGCGGATCTATAGTGACCCGCTGCTGCGTAGAAAGAGAATAGTTCAGAGTAAACATCTGCACCAACGTTTGCTTGGTTTTCTATGTAAGACCCATCAGTGAAGACTTAGAGCCATTGATCTACAGGATAGTTGACATTGATTGTCCCAAGGGTCAGTGAGCGAATTTGTTCTGGAAGGGTGTTTGACTTCCTGAAGTGGTCAAGCAGTTGGGTGCAACACACTACATCAGTGTCTGCTAATGGGTTCATGGGTAGAGAGAGGTTTTTTGATGATCGATTTGTAATGCTTTCTTCAGTTCTATGGCTTTCTGTATTAGACCAAATTGAGTTTTCAGATATCTTGGTGCATTTTCTTAGGTGTTGAAGAATTTGTCCATGAGAATGCATAGTAGCTTCTTATGCAGGATCAAGGTCTTCTCTTGATAAGAGAACTATTGTGGTGTTCCATGTAATCAGGAGCATTGCATCTATGGGTATTGATTTTATCCCTCAAGTAATTAGTCGTAATGCCTGGTTGTGTGCCTTCTCGAGTGATTTGAGAATCATCTCTGTGGCTGTAATGAGTGGCTAATAGCAATACAACATTATTGGCTGAATAAACATCTTGTAAGTGGTGTTAAGAGTTGAGCGTGCACAGCCCCATACTCTACCAACGAGGTGCTTCAGTATGCTCAGTCTATTGGAGACTCGGCTTTTCCATGTTAGCTTTGTGTCAAACGTCATTCCGAGATAAGTGAATTCATTGGTTTTTTCTAGGGAAGTATCCTTGTACCATGTGAATTCATTGGTTTTTTCTAGGGAAGTATCCTTGTCCCTTAAAAGCGGGTTTATGCTGTGACGGGCCAATGAATATGTTTGGAATGCGGTTTTCGCAGATTGATAACCGTTTCATTGTTGTCTCACCAGTTTGCTAATAGTTTAAGTGCCTAATTTAGGTTACTTTCCGTTCTCTCCTGAGCGTTTTTCTTAGGGGTGGAATACCATAGAACAAGATCATCTGCATAAATTAAGCACTTGATGCCCGTGAAAAATCATCTGCATAAAGTTAGCACATGATGCCTGTAACGGTCTGTACTAATTCGGCTATGTCATTGATGAAGACATTGACCCTGTGAAAGGCCTGTTTGTAAAGGATTGGATTTTGATAGAGCATTTCGCCTGTTTGTAAAAGATTGGATTTTGATAGAGCATTTCCATATCTAAAAGATTGGATTTTGATAGGGCATTTCCATATCTGACTTTACTTGATCTTTGTTCAATGAATGCTTTTATCTAGTTTAGCATAGTCCAATGAATGATTTTATACAATTTAGCATGTTATGCTTTATACCAATCTTCGCCAATTTTAGAATTAGGTTCTATTTCCATACTAAGTCATATGCTGACTTGAAATCGACGAAAACAGCCGTAAGAGTATTTCTTGCATCTTTGATATATTGATATGTTGCTGGTCTGTTGATCTTTGTGGCCTAAAACTTGCTTGTTCACTCCTAAGAATATTGTTGGTCTCAAGGAACCAGGTCAGCCTCCTGTTAACCATTCCTTCCATAAGTTAAGCCAACATGCTTGTGAGGGAGATAGGCCTAAAGTTGTCAAAGTTGCAAGGGTCTTTGCCATTTTTAGTATTGGTATTACCACAGCAATTTTCCAATGGGTAGGTACGAGACTGGTCTGCCAGATTTTGTTGAAAAGTGTCAGCATGGTTTCCTTGGCTTTTGGAAATTCCGGATGGACACCGTCTTCATCAGGAGACTTTTTACACTTTAGCTGTTTTACCGCAGCATTAAGTTCGCAAGGTCTGAATGGTTCAGTAAGTACATTATTTGGTGTTGCTATGTCTTCCTTAATTTCACCCAACTGTCTTACTTGTATCTTTAAATCTCTTGAAGATTTTCTGACAAAAGGGTTTTCCTTTTGCTTGTGGGAATAGAACCTCGCAAAGAAGTTAGCTATTTCGGAGTCGGTGGTAAGCAGTTTTTTGTTTAAGCGTATTGGTTCTTTCTTGGGTCTTTCCCTGTTGTTTTGAAGGTTACCCAGGAATTTGAATGTGCGTTGGCTATCACTTTGATAGTTGACATTTGAGATGAAGTTGTCGAAGGAAGTCCATTTAGCTTGTAATATGGCTTGTCTTAAGACAGCTGACTGCCGTCTCCAGGCTTGTACGTCTTCCGTTCTTCCAGTCTGATCAGCAGTTTTGCGAAGGGCGTCCCGCTTTCTTTTCAGTTCCTCAAGGTGTTTAGACCAAAACACTCGATAGTGTCTAGTCTTGCCACGGGGAATAGTTTTCTTTGCACATCTAATCATAATATTCGTGATATCGTTGCAAATTTTGTCAGGACGTTGGTTGAAGTTGAGGGGACTTGTGTGAAGTTCATTGCCTAAAAGATTTGTGAATTTTGGCCAGTCGGCCTTCTTGAAGCTCCATGATAGTTTGATTGGCATTTTCGGTGTCATGCGTTTGCTGCCGATAATAATATTAACAATGACTGGTTTGTGACCAGAACCAGGATCGTCAATTATTTTGCGGTGTGTAAGCTCACTGATGTCGCTTGAAGCCAGGAGTAAATCAGGAGTTGTTCTGGTTCCATTGTAGTGCAGATTTGTAGCAGGATCCTCATTGCTGTAAATAAGTTCTAGAAAGGTGTTGTTAAGCATGACTTCGATTTCCTTTCCAGCTATGTTCATGCTCTTATAGTCCCATCTGGTGGAATGGGCGTTGAAGTCTCCTAGTACTACGGTTTTGTGTGAGATATTCAAAAGATCAAAGTTGGGACTATTCCGTGGTGGATTATAGACTGCGTATATCTTGAAGTGGTTTTGACATTTCCAAACATTTAATCTGATTATTTCGCATATATCTTGCGCCGAGACCATACTCTTGATTTAATCGTAATGTGATGTGAGGCCTTCTTTTAATCCAGTCAAAATTCCATTTGCAACTTGCCGGTCGTTGGGTAGGAGATATAAGGTGTAACCTGGGAATTGGTAGTATTTGAGTTTGTCATCCGTTATGTTGGTTTCCATGATTGTGAATATGTCATTATCATAGGTATGAAGATTTTCTGGATTTAGATCTTCTTGTCTTGAAACATCCCTCCATTATTCCACTGAATGATTTGTAGAAGTTGTGATTCGTCCTGACAAGGGCGATTCTCTTATAGTTTCGTTTCAGGCTGATCATAATAATTTGAAATCAACTGCCGAGTTGTAGATTTTATTGCCGTATGAGTATACGCTGTCCAGGGTGCCCCACGTGGAAGTAAGTCTATTGCACCCCCCCCCCCCTTTTTCAAAATGTATAAAACACAGAATAAACGGTAAGAAACTGCGAAAGAAAACATAAAATCCGAGCAGCCATCTTCATCTTAGACAAAAACCAGATCGAATTTGGAAAATGCAAGCACTTTATAAGGCCCTTTGAAGCGAAACTTTTCCATTTCTCACTTTGATCAGAACGATAGAGGCACAAGAGCGTCTTCGATTACCCATTCCATTCTAAATCTCTATCATTTCTTTAACAAAATGCACGTCGAACCCAGACCTTCTAGCATAGAGGACGCCCACTTGGACAAATGTGCCATTAGTTGACATATTAGAAATGACCACGCATTTCTGGTGGCCAACAATGCAGACTAATAACAAAGTAATAAATTGCCAAAGGAATTATGCACCAGGTATTAAAAGTTTGAGATAATAATATTGTGCTCCTAATCACTAAACATGGCGATTTACACTATTGGCAAAATTTAGGGACTGGACATTTTGGCCAATACACGTCCAATTAAGTTTAAGTAAAGTAAACAGAACGAAAACGAGTTAATAACTCAATTTAATAGTTGAATCCACTTAACCTCTTGTTTGGTAAAAAAGTCAAGCACTCAATTTCAGCTTCATTTTACTAGTACCTTTGTTTATCTTAATTGCATTCTAGAAAGGACTAGTTTTTCCTAAATTGGGAAGATGGCGTGGGTCTTGGACGCCTCCTTTCTCTCTCCTTCTCTCGTTGTGAAAGAAAAACCATTCAATTGTCCTTCTTGTCCACCCCCCCCCCCCCCCCCACCAAATATGCAGTATGGTGCCAGTGAAACGCTAACCACCGCACCGCGGATGCTTCCGAATTCAAATGATATTATTCAGTCATGCCTTTTTAGCCCTGTACTACTACGCAGCAAATCTTCTGCTTCCAATCTCGACACACTGATCAATGGCAACACCCTCAAAGAAACTTGAGTATGATCATTTGTCAAAAATAATGCAAATCACTTCTAGCCTCAAAATTGCCGCCAATCTACTGTATGGGCGTATCGAAAACGATTTGATCCCCCCCTTTCCACCCGACTTTATGTCTACCTGACACCTCACCATCTGGATATTTATAGTAAGATTCACTCAAAATTTTAAACCCCGCTCAGGTCAAAATGATCGAAGTAAGAACAAAGTTGTTTATATATGCCTTTACAATTGCGCTTAGAGTAATTTTGTAGAAATAAAGGAATGGGAAACAATGAGAGCTAAATGTCTCAACCCATAATAACCGAGACTAGCATGGTTGAAAGGTTGTCGAATAACAAGAGAGGGGGACTGGAATCATACAGTGGGGTTAGCGAATACATGGATTGTCACGACGGGATACGGGTGGACCACATTGTTAAATGCATTCTCAGGAGTCTAAGCTTGTCACCCCTTTTGAAGAGACCTGCTCAGTTCCCTCTCCTCCTCTTATAGATTCTAGATAAGCCTGGACAAATTCGGTATAGTACTGACGTTCATGAAGGTACTTCTTCAATGGATCTGGTAGTGGGAGGTGGTCAATATGGTCTTTCCGTACCTTAAGAAGGATCTCAAATCTGCAGAGATGTGCCAAAGAGTGAACAACAAGGAATCTAGAAACGGGATAGAGGAGTCGTGCTTCTACGTAATGGCTTTCGCCTTCCAGGTGGTTGGTCACTCTTTCGCCTCCGTTCTGATCTGCTGTCGGGGACATTGTAAGCACCGATTGACGCAAGAAGAAACGAGATTTTCCACGTTCTGACTCAGCAATCACATGATTTATGAACTGAGCTATACTCGAGGAGGTTGTATCTGCACCCCCTTGAATCGCGAAGCCAAACTTTCCTGAATTTAAAAAAAGAATTAATACAAGAATATAGTAAATAAAAAGTTCCATTAAAGACACTATACCTCCTGTATGCTCAATCCGAGTATGATATGTCCGGTCCTCTGCTCGAAAACTGAGACTCAGAATGTAGAGCTCATGCCCACTGTCGCGTACAAGGAAACTACCATTTGGACGGTCTTGCAACAGCAATTCAGCCTCTTCGATTGTTAATGGGCCCCAGTACCACCCCGTCTGCAATAAAAGGAAATCGATTAAATAACGGATATTTAGGAATCTCTAATCACCCGATCACATACTCGCTTAAGCTGAGCAATGTTTTGAAGGAATACTCCTCTCTGATCTTCTTGAGGATCGTCTTTAGGAGTGATGACCTGTTCCTGTGGTGACTCAACAGTCCTTAAAGCGCTTGAGACGTGTGTCGGTGGACATGGTGCCTCTTCTGTAGAGGGAGATAGTTCACAGCAATCCTCTTGTTGGGGACTCTGCGTTTCAGTAGCTGTCGTCGTCATAATTGTCGTTGTCTCAGCTTCTTCAGCGCCAGTAATGGCTATATTTGGTGGCCATGTGGCTGAGAGTTTGATAAGTGGTGATGATGTTCGAAAACCAGTACCTTGCGGTTCACCAGGCACGGAATTGCTGGTAGACCCAATTGCTGAATGTTGTTGTTGTTGCGGCTGCTGTTCTTCACAATGATAGTAGTGATGCATATGGTAATGATGGAGCATTATGGGCTGACCTTGGCTAGCAGTGCACCAGCAACTAGTAACGTTTTTGCTTTCATAGAGCAGAGGATTAAAGTCTGTGTTGGTACAACAGCATGACTGAGGGACAGGGGGTTCTGTTTGAACTTCCACACTGCGGGTTAAGGGTTTGCATCTTAATGCGGTATTACGAGGAGGTGGAGGAGGGGGTGTAGTTGAAGGTGGTGGAGAACGAGAGTGCTTCGGTTGGTGATCGTGAGGAAAGAGCCAATGAGGAAAGTGACCACGACGATGGCTACTTGAAGAGGACTCCTTGACTTGTGGCTGGCGACTTTGACTAAATAGAATAAAATGGGGTACCTCACTGAACTTAGGCAGTTTAGCGTTAATAAACAGTCAGGCCTTTTATCAAACAACCACCCATGTGTCTATATTGTGTTGTCATTTGGGCTTTGGTCTTGCATTTCGTGTTAGCAACTGATGATTGCCTCGCGTGCTTCCTTGTGGTGCGTGTTAAAATGCAAGCTATTTCTACTTAATGCATTAGAAGCTCTGTATGAATGAGTGTGCATTAAATTAAAAAATATTAATAACAAAAGGTATTTCACTAAAGGCCTCATCCACATAATCATTTTAGGCAATTTACAGCATTATTACTAGTATTAACCTCAGTTGCTTCGTGAACCTCAGACAAACGCACCCAAGAGGTGGTAACAACAATATGTCTGTTAGCCCGATTTCAGTCTACTGTAAGATGTACTCCAGATCTCTCTGGGTCATTCAATAAGTTCTAAAAAATCTTGAGCATACGCATAATCATAATTGCAAGAAACTACTTGAAGAAAAATAGCTTCCTGATTCAACACCGAGAAACACAGAAATTAGTCACGGAGCCTACGCGTTGAGCGAGGTATGAGGAATTCATAAATAGGATAATCTAACTGGAGCCTTTCAGGAGAACGCTCTCTTGATTAAATACTAGACAGTGCCTTAATATTCAAAAGTTAATTATTTCTACCAATAGCGTGCTTGCACATACTTATTTTGCCTTTCCTCCCTCCTCGAGTCTGAACCAACAGAAATCCTTCATCACCTAGAGATCTTAGAACCAGATCTAGGCCTCCTAAATATACAAAAGGGCTAAACTCCTACCCCCCCCCCCTATACCGACCATCTCTAAGCAGCGTTAACAGTCCATACCACCACTGTACGTGCAGTGCTTAGCTTGATGGAAGTGGAAGTTGGTCCGAATCACAGAAGTGGCAGCAGCATTATACCAGGAGGTAACTTGACAGAAAACAAGTTAAATGACTTAAAACAACAAAATCGACTCTCAGTTTTGTTTCCGAAGAAATATCACGCAAACTATTCACTCCTATGGAATGATGTACTGAGTAAATAAGCCCCTAAATCACTTGACACCAAAGAAGACTTGATACCAAAGGAAAATCTCGTCAGAAAAAAAGGCAATTTAAGGGCGAATGCGAAGGCGAATGCAAAAAATCGAGAAGAAACAATTACAACTCGAGAGTGGTTCTTCATTGGCAAGTCTTTCCAAACACAGGGTCAACAAGAAAGCATTTCACGAGTCGAGGGCAAGAATCGACTGGATACCGCAAAAAAATATTCAATCATTGAGATATACTTAAGTACATTGCAAATAAATTAAAATGCCCAATAAACTGCCATTAAATTATGACATTGGGGACATGCACTGCTCTCTCTAAAACACAAAACATGTAAACCACCATTTTGGAGCTTTTTGCCTGGCAGTTGGATGAACTCGATGAATGGATTCTAACACTCTTCGATGGGAAAATCGAATTCAGCTAACCCTATCTTGATCATCTTTAGCCTCTGCTACTGTTCACAGTGTTGTCTCTGGTTGTTCACAAATGAGAATCGAATTTACAAGCTCTGATCTTACGGAGGTAAGCACTGATCATGACACCAATTCCCTCAATAAAATGTCATTAACGCAAAAGGAATTAACAATAAATCCTAAGACATGAACCTGAATAAAATTTCAGACCGAAAATTAGACTAAATGACACTAGAAGCATACTTATTTCGTTGTGGTTGACTTCTCTTAGCCCCGACGTTGCCACCACCAGAATCGGGTCGAACTATTTGCATCCTTTGGCGTAATCTATGTGGAGGCTGACTTTGGCTTCGACGATGGTCAAAGTTCGGATCTTCGACAGCATTGCTATTCACATGAAACAGACAAGGTGATTGTAAAGCATTTGATGGAACTCTGCAGTCAGTGTGATGTTGCTGATAACTCCTTTGTGGTTCAAGAAGGCTTGGATGGTGACCATGATTAGTATTCCCGGGTGGTACAAGCCGATAGGGATTAGCTATAAATAAGAAATAAGTGATTAAACGAGTCTTCTTCTGCGAAATGATCCGTACCGACTCTTACTATGAATGAATGATAGGTTTCCATCTGTCGACAAATATGTCTCCTTCATTTATCTAAGCAGACGTAATAGATACAAAATTCTAAAATATCAAATGAATAAGACATATTCTTCGTGGAAAAATTGGCCTTTGAAATAGGTTATTATTTAGCTAATTTATGGCATTCCAGAGCAAGCGTAATACTCAGCTTTACAAAACGGGAATATACTAATGAAACTAGCAATAAATTTGTCTAATGAATAGATCTCATAGAGAGTTCAAAGGCCAATTTCATACAAAAGTAGACATTTCGATTTCAATCCACCACAATTGAAATTGTCACATAAAGTTACCAAAATGGGTAATCAGATATGAGGCTCTCAAACAGAGCGATAGTAAAGTACACCTCTCTAAGGCCTTGGGCGAAAATTATGGAACAAATTTAAAATAATGTTACAAAAGAAGTTATTAACATAAAATAGAACTATTGTCCGAACAGAAGAACAGTTTGATTTCCTTAATTGGTATGAATCGAGGATAAATTCGAAACTACCGGGTGGTGCATATAAATCTGGCTCCATGATGAAACACAATTTCCAGAGGTAACGATATTATCCATTCGCAAGTATCAGTAGTCAAAAACTGAGTTTTCGACACAACTCACTTGTATAGGAGTACAATTGCACGAAGACCATGGCTGCAGAGTTTGAATTTCACCTCAGAATTATATAAATTCTAATAACCCTAATCAAGAGGATGGCACACGTCTCCCCCNAAAAACCCAAAAAAAAGGGGGGGCCCCCCCCCCCCCCCCCCCCCCCCGACAGTTTGGCTGCACTTTTGGAGCTAAACCTCTCACCATTCGGGAGGGAAATAGATTTCCTAACAACGCCGACATATAGCCAACATGATGCCTTTGTTTAATCAAGAAAATGCCTTCGGTTAAAGGCAGTTTGGTTCAAAACTATTTACTTCTATAAACGAAGAGAGTTGCCTACTTCAGCCAGTCATACCAGGCGGGGGGGGGGGGGGGGGGNGGGGGTGAGTAGGTAGGAAATCGTAGCTGCATAGCTATTCACCTAAAATAATGATTCTACAATGGTGAGCAACAGAGTGGTGAAAGCAGACTGTTGGCCTTGGCAAATTGCTATGGTTATTCTAGAGATTCATTTTGAGGCTTAGACAAGAAGATATGTGCTGTAGACACCATAAAACAAGTTACAGCAGTAACCACCACCGCTAACAACAGATTTTCCTTTTCTCCTTATGATTAATTTCCATTTTTGCTTCGATGCTAACGCCTAGGTATTGGGAGGGACTGATTTTTCTAGCCTTATGGCTAAAATTATTAATGAAAAATGGGGGGTGGGGTAGAGTGGCTTGGTAAGTGTTCAAGTCATTCAATGGCACACTCTCAAAACTCTCATATTTGTTCCTGCTACAAAGAATCGCTTAGGCAACCAAATCAACCTTGAAAATGTTCTATTCAAGAAACGCCAGTGGAGAGTCCAAATAATTTTGCTGAAAGAAGTCCTTTAGCCAGCAAGTTTTCCATTTCTCGACCTCAGTCATTCTAAACAGCTTTTATCAAGCGCCTACAACGTGGTTTATCCCGAATCCTTGGTTTGCGTATAGCCACTTTGAGCCACGCATTCGAGTAGCATATAAGCTCTCCCAAATTCGAATGCATTGCAACCATGTGTTTTACACATCTCCATCGTTTTTCTCTCATAATGCACCTTTATTTTCTTCCAGCTACCTGATGCCTTGCGTTTATGAAATAAGCAAATTCGTCCGTAATGGCGGCTAGCTATTTCTGCTACTACTTTGGGAGTAAGTTGGCCTAGGTCTGTGCTGCAAGAGAAGGGAATTTGGCACCAGGCCAAGAGAGAAGGGCATATTTGCAGTACCGTGCTTGCCCTCTGACGACTATCACATCGTTGCGCCTATGTTGTTTGGCAGCGCAAGACAGGCAGAGTGGGCGAACACACACACTACCGCACGCTGGAGGTGATTCTCTCGCACCAAATGGGCGGCTGCGCGCGCACTCGATGTGCGTTGAGTCTGGCCACACACGCACACACCCCCGCCTACAAATCGATTTCTCCTAGTGCGAATCAGCCAGGCGGCCAGCTGTCGTAATTAGGTTGCTTCTTTATACTTGTCTCTCAGGCCAGGGCAATTAAATATGAGGAAATATAGTTGGAAATCTGAAAGGTTCCATTTCATGCATTAATCGTTAGTCGGAATATTTCTAACTTCCCATGAAACTAATATCCTATACATAAGGCTAAGGACGAGAAACGAGACTACCATCGATCTCCTTATGGACTTGAAAATGGGAAAATCTATGAGAATGCGGTTCCCAAAACCCATAAAAGCCGATGGAAGGAGGACCGTGCTCAAGACCACTGCCTAGAATATGAACGTTCAGCATCAACTAAATTGAATATCTCTTCATGACAACTTGGAATAGTGTTCCCAAACCATTCATAACCTTACCATCAAATTCCCCAACTATCTCCTTAATCAATGCACGATTGCGATTGGATGAGTTGCTGTAGCCTCGGCTATTTTCGAATTTTAAACTTAAATTTATTCCCAATACTCACATGATATGGAAAGTAGAAGTAGGATCTTGCTATAGAAACCTCGCTCTTTAACTTTCCAAGAGCCTAAAAAGGAATTTAAATTTCACTTTCTGTTGGTGAAATGAATAGGAGTGACTCAGTGAGATAAAATCTGGACTAGAATGTAGTCCAAATGAGATTCTTTTCAAATCAAACATTTCCGAAACCAAACACTGTGTTTGGATTAACCATGTACTGGATTTTGTACTAGTTCATTTACCAAAGCAACAATATCAATTACAGGAATAACAATAAGTCTGTGTTAACTCCCTCCCATTGACTAAAATTATAAGCAGAATTGGTGAGTAAGAGTGGGACTTAAAGGAGCCCTGTAAGTGATCAAATGGGATTAGAATTTTGAATACTATAAAATATGTTGATATCGAATCTTCCAATTACACTAACTTATTATCGAAACGTATTCTCATTGTGTTTAAAAGCTAAACTGAATCTACTTTACTACTTTCGCTATCAGAATAATGAAATTAATGAATTTCCCCAAAATATAATTAATTAAGTGCGTTTCGGCAGGATGTGGATTTACTCAAATTCTCTGGCCAAGCTAAGACTACGAGTAATTTATAACACACCAAAACATCCCAATTAGAGAGGAAAAGTGTCGAAGTTAATTTCAGCTGACGGGGGTGTGCGATAGACTTACCTCCACGCGGTGCATCCTGGGCAACGTATACTCATACGGCAGTTGACTTCTGACTTCAAACTACCATCACCCCACTGTATGTCATATTCCATCAATTTCACAGTTCTCACCTTACCTTTTTTCTGACATTGTGTCTGTCTCTCTTTTACAGCAGTGAATCACTCTTCTGTTCCCCCCCCCCCACCCCCACCTCAGCTTTTTGCGCCTTTGATGTTTCTCCCCTCTGTGAAGTCCAAAGCCAACTTAAGGGCTAATGATAACTATCATAAAGCCTGTCATTTGATAATAAATAAATAAGTATTTCCTCATGGCCACAAACCTGAGCAATTTAAAACTTCCACAACCGAATAGAAATAGTCAGTAGTTTAGAATAGGAAAACAACAGACCTGAGATGACATGAGCAGGCGATGCATTTTGTTGCAACGATTCTTTAGTAATAACTCGGGAACATGGGGATGGCGGGGGGTTGTGATGGTTGATTCCATTGGCAAATGAACACTCATTGCGGTTGGCATGACCACTGAGGCATTGATTTTGTTGATGATGGTACTGATACTGGTGTTGATGCTGCTGGTCCCAGGACAAGAAACACGGCGAGGACATTTGCGAAGTGAAGGATGAACCGTTTGGATTCTAGAAAGCAACACAGGTCAAGCTTCAGCCTAGTCGGAGCTGCAAAATTGGATAGATTCTAAACTAATGGGAACGATTTAAGCTTGAGCCGTATTGACAGTGAAGCACAGGAAAGTAGAGGGTAAATTAAAAAGATAAATGGGATTGTTTAACATTTCATTGTAGAACTTATGGTCACGAGTTAATGGGGCCAGTGCTTGGAAATCATTACATCAGTTATCGGGAACAATGAATCACTTAATGAATCTAAAAAATTAGGGGACAATAAACCAGAGATAGAGATGGCACTCTCCCAGATTACTTAATTGAGGGGACAAAAAAATACTAATTTAACTTTCTTATTTTTTACCCTTTGCCCCTTATAACTAAGAGGCAAAGGGTAAGTAAAATTCACAGCTTTTATTGCAAGAAAGAAACTTCATTTGATTTTAGGGAGGTCATACAAAATTTCCTCAATGATTAGCTCTCATTTAGAGATCAAACCGAGTCACTCAACAAATCCTCATCTACATAAATTATAGACTACGACCGATATTTCCTTTTTAATTTAATTTATTCTCCCCATGGATTAAAAATTTAGGCACTTACATGATATTGGCCTGCTTACACTATTTTAACATGGTCGAACTGAGGCAAATAACAATTTGAACGAGTCTTATGCCCCATATTTTGGAAAATCAGTCGACTTTTTGAGCAAAAAAGGTTGTCAAAATAGACAAAAGATAAATCAATTAATCAGTTGGCTAGCAAGAAAGTGCATAGTGAATATTTGACTAAACTAATTGGGAGTTTAAAGGGTTAGTAATTGTTAACAATTTCAAATTCCGATGAATGGCAGTAAACGAAACGATTTACCATATAGCGATACTGTAGAAACTATCACTTGGGCAAATTTTACCTATCAGCGGACAGAAAGAAATGAAAAAAACCTAAAAATCCCTGGGTAATTGAATCAATTAAAGCACCTCATATCCCGATAAAGCGCGTCTTATATTTTCTTGTCGTAAGGAATGATATAGGAGACTGATAAAATCAGAACACAATATTGTTGAAGACAGTGAAATTTCTCAATTAGTGAAGGGCCCCTAAATCCAGTCATCAAAGCAAGAACTCCCTTAGATTATAATCAGCCTAAATTATAAAACTAAGTGTTAGTTTACGCATGTGAAAGGCCTTTCAATTCGCACTAATGGTCAGTCATTTCCGAGTTTCCAAGATGTGCAATTTTAGGCAACTAAAATGTTTGTGGATGTTAAGTTCCGAGAAATAATTCCTGATGTTTGTCGCAAATCAGGACAATCGTCTAATATTAACGAAACGAACCAAAAAACCGAATTTTCAAAAGTAGAAGGGTTATTTTAATTCCCATAGATGTCTCTCCTACTTCTTTCGACACCCTACATTTCCTGCTATTAAAATTATACCATTTCAATATAATCGATTTCAAACTTCAACCAGAACTCTGATCACACATCATAATGGCCTTCTTTCCTTTGCTAAGCATTGTGTCGTAGAGATAGGCGGCTTGGAATAGTTGCCATTAAGGGAATCTCTAATACAGCATGCCAACAACTATCTCACTCCATCCCTCTGCCTTAGGGATGACTCATCGTATTCTCCTTACATGGAATGTGGACAAAAGCGAAGACATTACCCAAGTAGCACTTACTGCTTGAAGCACCGGCGCTAATTGCAACTGCCAAATGGAAAGTCGGTAGGAAGAACCTAACACGCTTAAGAATGAGAAAGAAATAATCGATTTGCAGGCTGGCTAGATCTAAAGCACTTAATGGCATCTTACAATACAAATCAGAAATAAAGATGTAAACCACAATCAGAAAGTAAGATGCTGAAACTACTTCAGTACTCTCGTATATTATTGATCACTTATTCCATACCAGATAAAAGATTATCATCTGAAATAAATAGTAGTTTTCTTGACGGAGAAAAAAAATTTTGTAGTTAGTCAAGTCTGTGTTTCAACGTCATTGGAAAATGGCAATAAATAAAATAATTATGAATAATATACATAAATTAAAATATAGTTGCTATATATATAGCTACCTACTGCAATGCACTAAATGTAGTAAAATAATGCATCAAGTGCAATTTAAATAAGTATTTACGTAGTTTGATGAGGAATGTGACCTCTGTGGTGGTTCAGGAGAATGGAAATATCGCCTTTGGAGAGGAAGCGAAGTCTCAATTGGATGGCGAATAGTAGCAGTAACTATGGGTGCAGGTTTTCTGGCATAAGTGAAAGCTGACTGCTTAGATGCTAAAGACGACTGTGTTGTCCGTCCAAGGGGTGAGTTAGGGTTTAGAATTACTGCGTATTGATACTCATTAGAAGATTCTAGTGACCCCGTGGGTTGGGGATTTTGACATAGCACTTCGGGATGATGAAGGCAAGAGTGGTGATGGAAGTGGTGAACGTGAATGGTGGGAGGGGATGGTAATTCAGTTGTACTATTTGCTTCAGGTACGACAGTATTTCGGATTAGTTTGTTAGAAAAAGTGGAAGAGTCCGATTTTGTCCTTGTTGAAAACATGTTTTCTGGAAAGTTCACAGAGAATATGGTAAAATAATTTTAATATTTATATCAATTATAATTAACTGTCGATAAGCCAATGCTAATAAAATGTATAGAAAAAGACACAATTTTTAAGTGAGGTTTCTAATAATATGAAATCAATAGATACTTAGATTCAAAAACTAATAATCTTAATTATATAAAGGCAACCTTAAAAAGATGAATATGAAGAAACAAAGCCCGTTACAGTTAGCACACGGCCAATCATCTATAAAGGAATGCTCAGAGGAAAACCCATTTACTCAAGGTTGTCCAATAAAAATTATTGTAGTTAAATAAAACACCCATTCCACGTGCCTTGCACTCCCTAATTCTGACAAATTACTAGGTTAATTATAGCTAATATTTATAACTTATGCTTTTTATCGACGTACTGCATTAAAAAGTTGCTGTAACTCTTGATTATACTATAATCGAGGTTATTTAAGAATTATAATTTCCGAAATGGGTATCACAAACTTGCATGGTTATGGTCATTCGGTTCTGTAACTAGCCATAATCTAAATTTTAAATATGTTTGAAGTATTTGTAATGCGTGTTGAATGCATTTTGGAAATTAATAGAAGTTATTATGTACATAATCGGTATTAAAATTATTATTTTTTGTAGATAAAGTACGCATATTATAAACCAGGATTATGCTCAACATTGTGCTATTTACAATTTTAAATGTCTAATTAAGCATCAAGTTAAATTTCCAGCCACTGTTTTACTTGAAATCTCTTTTAACTCCTAAGAGGTTTTAGGGCCAATGCAATCAGAGGCGCATAAGAATGGAGCGTAGATAACAAATAGCATATCTGCAAAACATTTACATTTTAATAGAAGATATTTTAAAATTTTGACGTGAAAATCAAGAATGATAAAATAAAATGTTGAAGTTACTTTGAAGATGCGGCTGGAAACATCAAAACTGCTCACGTTTAAACACACTCTAACAAAATGCAATTACGATTTAGCAATTATCGATACCCTTAACAACTTTATAACACACGTTTCAATTGATTTTCGTTGCAAACAATAATTGCAAAGGAATTATTGCCTCAAGTCCGCTTGGAAGTATGTCCATCAAGCATTCCTTCACATCTTACAAAGATGAGTGGGTATGATAACAGAAATATATACTGCGATGATTGTGGTATAAATAAGAAAATATGGACTAGATTTAACTACTTTACAAGGTAGGTATATTTACTCCCAAACCTACCTCTGTTTATTCCAAACTATATGCTGGGGAAACCAAAATTGAATACTTATGTGTCAGCACGGGGTGGGCAATAGACTTACCTCCATGTGGTGCACCCTGGGCAACGTATACTTATACGGCAAAAAAGTCTATTGATCCGTAGTTGACTTCTTTTACATCTGTGAATCACTCTTCTGTTCACCCTCTCGACTTTTTGCCACTTTGATGTTCCTTCTCCTCTCTGTGAAGCCCCGAAGTCAGCTCTAGGGTTAATGATGACTATCAAAACACCTGCCATTTGATATAAATAAATAATGTGTCAGCACTTACCAGGCATTAGTCGAAGGAGTCCAGTCTGTGACCAGAAAATTACTCTTAAAATGTGAGATTTAAAGACCTGAAGAAACAAAATGATGCCTTCGCTGAATAAGGGAATCGAATGTGCACTCAGATAGGCTCGAAGGTGCGCCGTAGGGAGTAAGTGTGATCGTGAGCGCGGCGAACACCCAGACAACTGCCAATCAATAGCAATTGCTTGATGCAGTAACCTCTCCATTGCAACACACTTACAAAATAAACGTATTGCGTATCCTACGTTTGTTTTCTCAATAGCTTTGCGGTAGCTTAGCTACTCCTGGGAGCCTTTGAGAACTAGGAGACCCTGTCATATAGATTACTGAGAATAAGTCAGAGCTTATTAGTGTAGAAATCCGCTACATAATATGTGTACTCCGCAATTAGCCGAATTAAATGAAAATAAATGAACTTATTTTTGTTCTAATATGGGGTGTGCGATAGACTTACCTCCAAGTGCTGTAGCCTGGGCAACGTATACACATACGGCAAAAATCTATAGATTGTTCATCAGATCATCCATAGCTAAAAGGTACTCCATATTTCATTTGCTCATTTGAGGGTACACCTCTTCTATATCATTTGTATCATGACTAAATGCATCGTGATTTGTTACTTTAACTATTTAAGTAACAACATTCATTGTAATGAGCAATTAAGTAAATATTTATAAGATTTGAAAATTATTCTACTTTGTAAAATTGCATATTATTTACCTTAAAACTTAGCTCTTCACTTTCTTATTAGGTAAAATTTGTTCTGTGCCATTTTTTAAACGAAGTGCCACACGAATAAGTCCCAACTTAGCCTCAGCTTTCTCAATGGCTAATCTCCTGGTATGGAAGCAGACGTATATCGAGTAAAGAGTTCATTTAAATTATGTTCTTAGCAAAAATGTTTTGTAATTACATACATTCAGCGCAACTTGAATGAAAATTAGTGGCTGATTAGATGAGAGGTTCTCTGTGTGCACTACCGCACCACTTCACCCCCTCCTCACCATCACCCAGAATGCTCAAGCACGTATGAGATTGCTCAATTTAATGGTGCGCGTTCATTCTTAATCTTTTAGAGGTACGCAAGAGACTTACCTCCACGTCGTGCACATTGGGCAACGTATAGTCATACGGCAAAATGTCTATTAACAGGCAGTTGACTTTGACTTCAAACTACTATGACCCGACTGTTTGCCATATTCGATCCCTTCCATAGTACTCAGCTTACCTTTTCTATGCCTTTGTGTCTGTCTGTCTGTCTGTTACATCTGTGAATCATTATTCTGTCCCCTCTCGAATTTTTGTCACTTTGATGTCCCTCCTCCTCTCTGAGAAGCCCGAAGTCAGCTAAATGGCTAACGATAATTATCAAAACGTCTGCCATTTGAAATAAAAAAATTATTAAATAAACAAATAAATAGTGCGTATTCATTCATACTCTTTGTGACGGCGTCACAACCAGTATAAGTATAATGATTTTTGTTGCGGGTATAGCTTTATTATAGGCAAAATGCATAAAATGAAATTTATCTTGGCAACTTATCAGGACTCTTATTTAACCCATATATTACGCCAATCCAATTGTGAGAATAGAGCATTTAAAAATAATGCCTCTGCTAGTTGTAAGCAACGAATGAGGGGGACAATTAGGACTTAAAGTGTGCTCAGCTCAACGATTAAGCATAAGATTATCTTATCTAAACATGCCGTATACTACTTGACTGACGCAAATCTAATATTTAGCGGGTAATACTTAAATAAGCGCATGGCTATTACCTCAGTAATCACCTTCGAAATTTGCCCAGCTCCAGATAACTAAGCGAGTCACTGACAGAGTCCTCAGGGTTTGTTCAAAGTAGCAAGAAAACGCAGATTGAAGAGCGTTTATTACATATTAGGAGTCGTTGCAGACATGATCAGTAAATGAATACATTTAGCTCATATTTGAAGGAAAAGTACTCACTGGTTACCTAAGAGAGCCTCTGCACACACAAATCCTCACTTAGTACGATATTCGGAGCTCACGAGGCTAATCTGATTAGATCTCGAAGCCAATGTACAGTTAAGGTATCACATTCAGACCTCCGAGTTGAAACTGCAAACTTGACCTTGGAATTCTCTATTTGCCTTCATATTTCAACAGGGTTTGGATGTCTGCACATATTTCAATAACCTTGTCCATTGCAAGCCATTGGATCTATCCACACACGCCAATCTAGAAAAAACAATAGTAATTAATACACAATGTCTGTTGTCATGCCGATAAGATATAAAGTAAGCGTCAAAGGCGGTTTATTATACTTCCTTTATTTCATATAACCATGGAGCCCGCAACACTATCATTGCTGAACACAGAAATCGCAGATAGGCTCGAAGATGCGCCGTGCCACTTGGCGTAGGGAGTAAGTGTGTCGTGAGCGCGGAGAACACCCTGCCAACTGCCAATCAATAGCCTCTTGTGTGGTTTAACAAACCCTCCACTGTGATATAATAACTAAGCTCCCAAATAAGCATATTCTCGTCATACATCTGTTTCCTCTAAAGCCTACCTACTCCTGTGCGCCTTTGAGAACTAGTAGACCTTGCCATAGAGATTACTGGTCATAAGCCAAGGCCCATTAGTGTAGAAATCCGCTACAAAACAATCTCCGATTGCCACTAGTAACAGTGTTTACCAAGCTTAAACTGAATAGGAGAAGACACCCTGAAAGAGAGATACTTTGGTTATAAAACGTGTGTCTGACACAATAAATTTGGCCATATTTTGATCTATAAAAGTTTGATCCTAGTTATCTGTTTGCGAGTCGTGAGATTTACTTTAAATTAAGCTCCATCACCCATCGACAAATAAATAACGCCTAACAAGATAGAGTTTTTCATGTAGACAATTTTTTAGCAAACATGTAACCTTCCCTTGGTCGAATTAAAACTAAACAAACTGGTTGATAGTTGAATTTCATTGTTCTGCAAACCTTTAACGTCATTAACATTATCTTTGAGGGCTCGCAATGAAATGGTGTGCTGATTTCAATTGAAAAAATTGTCTCCACTCGACACATTCCCGCCTGTACTACCATCAATACGTCACTTAAATGGCGCCATTTAGATTATTTACAGACTTTTGTCTAGTCAATGAGTGCATTCAATTCCCCACTGAAGGGAGTAAAATGGCACTTAAAACCTCATGTGTATAAGTGCACATGAACATGCTTTGTTCATACTTTCAAGCAGTATCCTCCGTCCTGTTTTGTGTATCATAATATTCCTTATCAGGGGTGTGCGATAGACTTACCTCCACGTGGTGCACCCTGGGTAACGTATTCTCATACGGCAAAAAGTCTATTAACCGGCAGTTGACTTCTGACTTCAAACTACCATCACCCCAATGTATGTCATATTCGACCCTTTCACAGTACTCATCT